TCTCCCTATAAATGTGTTTACACAGGGGTAGTACTTGTACTCACTGTCTCTGAGTATAGTTCATTTTTTTTTATTTTGGTGGGATATTCGCTGAAAAGTTTTTTGTTCAATTCGAACCACTGTTACGTTTGTAACACTCCGTATTCTAACCTGCAGTAAACTAACGCGCACCCTCACGGAGGCAAAAGCATTCTATAGATTAACAGGTTCGATGTGTACAAGCAGAATTATTATATAATGTGTCTGAAACACGGACACTATCGACAAAAGACACAGAACACTCGATGTCATCCGAGAACCTTTTATCTTTTATTTATTCGTTTTTTTATTGTTATTATTATTATTATTTTTTTTTTTGAGGGGAGAAGTTCTAGCATCTTATGTTGTTTCTTGCTGGCAACTCCTGTAGCTATACACATTACATCTATACATACGTTGAGATGTAGATATAGTATTTTATTCGAGTTTCCGGACGATGACCGAACGAAATGTAATGCGTGAACTATAAAGCGACATACTTATCTATAGTTTTTAGTCGGTATATTAAGATTTATATCGGTACATTTAAATGTTTAGTGATCGTTTTACGGGAAAAAATAATCTTATACACTCGAATGATTGGTCGAATTTACATTTGTTTCTATAGTCTTCTCGATGTCTTATAAATGTAATATGTAAAACAATTTGCTTTAATTCAGTGCGGCGCAATGGTAGCATAAGTATATTACGAAATAAGTATACGATTTTTCTTTTTGAAATGATCAATAAAAATAAATATTCACCTATCCGAACGAATTTCTGTGCCCTCGTAAAGCAATATTCAATATTCTCGTTTATAATAAGCGTTTTATGATTAGACTTATAGTTTATTAATAAACAAATGTCAAGTATTTCGAAATTTTTAAATCGATTTCGTTTCAAATATAGTACATTGTACATCGATCGGTTTCGGAAAACTATTAGGTACGATTATACAATTTTCAAAATAACTATAACTACTTTAACTACTCGACGCCTCGCTTTCTATATCTGATAGTACCTATACCTTTGTCCGCGAGGTTGGGAAGTGCTTTTAAACAAATCCCTATGTTTGAATTGTTTAAATTAAATTGAATTAAAATAACTAATATGTCTTGGAGAGTAAAGTCATCTATAATAATATAGTTCCTATTCATTCTTAAAATATGCTAAATGAATATAAATAATTTCTGTAATACTTTTTGATAACATTTGTTTTCATTTGATACTTTGTTCTTAAATAGTTATGATCAAATCCTATTTATAATTAATTATTGCTAACTACAAGATATTTATAAAAAATTGCGTTTAAAACAAACAAAAAAAAACCCGTTCAAAACATACACATTTGTTTATAATTAAAACACTTTTAAAATTTAAAAAAAACTGTTTTTATTTTCAACCTACGCCTTTCCGTTTACTTAATAAATAATACATATATCGTACCACGGCTGACTGTAAGTTGCGACCTAAAATACTTTTTTGGCGTAAACTGCGTTCTGGGTATTTTTTTGATACATTATGTAAATTGCGTCACGTGTATTTTTCTAATGTATACAAATTGCGTTCATTAAATGTAATAAAAATATTCAAGTATAAAAAAAGTAGATAAATCAAAAAAAAAATCAATATTTTCCTTCTCATTTTTTCAGACTTAAGACCGTCAACATTATTATTAAAATATTGGTATGGTTAAAAATATTGTTGTTATGTGTTAAGAGTAAACTTTAATTAAGACTTAATAATTAATAACAACTATAAGGACAATATTATTTCATATTATTACACGAGTTCACTGATAAATATTATATATTATGATTTTATGAATTGATACCGGAAAAAAATTGAGTCGCCTCACAAATTCAAATTGAGTTGTCTCGTCGCTTATTAATTCATCGATTTTTCGTTGAATGATTCTTTTTTTAATCCGTAACGTTATGTAATAAATTTGAGATTGCATATTTTTTTAAATGCTTACAAAATCGAATTTATTTGGATCAGAAAAATTTTAATAAACTATTTAATTTTCTGTTAAATGCTTCGCAATTGTTTGTCAATACCCAAAATTCTGCCTATATTTGTGGTGGAAATTAAGCGTCTTTTTTTAATATAATATGTTTCTAAAATACATACGTATAGTTCGTAAATTGTATATTAATCGAGCACCCAGATGGTTGTATTTACATCATTATGTCATACATAAAACAATTATCACCAATTTGGGGATTTAAAAATGGTAGTCCGAACTTATTTTTGCATATTATTGTTTTTATATAAACCAGTACCAAATATAATATTATAATATTAGTAGAACGTTTTACTATGTACGCTGTAGATTATTACTTCATACTTGTCTTTAAATTGTTTCACCAATTGGAAATGAACAGGATATTCCGGCACGGTCAAAATTCAGTGTTTATTTCAGAGGTAACCGGGGGAGGGGGTATTACCTCCCCGTAGATCTCCCCACATGACATATGACATTACTACATACTACGTATTTAACTGCATGGGACATGATAAGTGAAATGAGTTATTATGGCCGATTATGAGTCTTATTATAAGTATTATATTGTTGATAGTAAAATTAAAAAAATATCGTGTTATATAAATAACCGTATTTTGACGAGGTACAAGAAAAAAGTCACCGTTGAACGTATTTTCTTTATTCCCCATGTGTACAAATTCCTTGATCTGGCTCTGCCTTTGGCATACCCCCTCGGATATTTACGGTACCCCCTACCCCCAGGAATAAAGGTCTGAAATAAATACCGGGTCAAATACACTGCACTGGCTGCTACCAGCGGGCCGCGATTCACGCACGTTTCAAAAATACCCGGCCGTGACTTACTATATAATAATATAATTTATGACTGTGACCTTTTCGCGGGGATGCAATTTACCGTCTTTGCGTGGCACGACCTTCCTTTTGAATTTCCATAACGTTCGCCTGTATAGCCATCACTCGCTGCAGTATAGTAATTATGTTCACGAACTGCCACCGGTATATACTTGATTAAATATCCGCAGTCATGTAGGTGCCTATATAATAATATTACGCAATGTTATTTAAATATAATATTGATTTCCCCCCCCCCCTTTGCAAAGGTCTTCGGTTTACCTATATATATATATATAGGTACGTACTTTCGTTTCGAAACGAAAATAACCGTCTGCCGCATTTTAAAACGGTCTTGTCACGTCACGCATTATTATAATACGTTCGGGGTGGACACGCGAAAATCGTATATACCTATATAAGTTCACCGTGCAGCAATATACCTATATTTTTATACTGTTTCCGACGAAATAAAAGCTACTTTTATTTTTATTTTTATTTTTTCCCCCGATTGATCAACATTATTATTACACCGCCGCTGTCTTGCGCATTTTATTTTTCAGTGACGTCAATTCACCCCGGACTGCTGCAGCTAGCAGTGCCCGCGGTGGCTTGTCGTCCGCAGCAAAATATTACATTATTACCGTTTCGTCGACCCGATACCGTTGACTATTGCCAACTTATAAGTATTTTTTGTACGGGTATTCGTTTCGTTTCCTCCCCTCCCTGCTTTTTTTGCTGCTTTGAGTTTATGTGGTTTTAAAAAAAAAAAAACGTCTATAACGGCCGCGACAACTGTGACGGTAAGTGTGTAAGGTACGTGTGTAATAAACGCTACGACATATTTTATCGGAACGATTCAAAATTTGAATAATATTTCGATCGATCGTATCGGGAATCCTACATAATTCACGAATTTCTAAAAATACGCGATTATAATAAATTTAACTTATTCGACTCGTAATACTGAAATAATATTATGAATATATTACAATACCTATAAATATATATTATATAAAAAAAAAATACTTATAAATTATTTTGGTTTTTTTTTCAGTGACTATACCAGAAGTACCAACTGAACGTCGTTGCCGTCGTTATCGTACAATAGTACAGTATGGAGTAATGCGGTTTGAAAATGGGGAAGGCGAACGAAGCGTCGGCATCAGGTAAGATAAATCCGCAGTTTTTTCTTTTTTGCCATATTATAATATTAATAATAACGTGTAGACTCTACACAGCAGATTTGACAGTAAATTGTGTAGTAACAAATCATACATAGGCATTAAGAAGAGCTACCAAAAAGTATTTATTATTTTATGATCAGTGATATAGTTATTGAATTATTTGCGAAAAACCACAAAACTACCCTATTTCCTAATTCTTCAACCTTCTTGGGATATGGGAAGGTGGTGAGTTATCATGACCAAATTTCACACAGATTACTATTACATAGTAATGAAAAATAATAGGAGGGTGATACAGCATCAAAAATATTATGGTTGTTTTTATTTTCCTACAACCAAAAGCCACTCTAGTATAGAGGTAAACTAGCTTATGCATATGAGTTTAACGCGTAAAATATTCCAACGAAATCGATTCGGTCAAAAGTATGCAATCATTATTTTATAAATAGGAAATTGCAGACATTTTTTTTTTTAACCCAGTGACAGAATTCGTATATTTCCTTTATTAAAGGATTTAGGTGATCGTGCATAAAATAATGTTTTTTTTTTTTTATTTATTTAAGATTTAATAATGTGAAGTACAGACTTTTTTTTTTTAATGTCATCGCCGTAATTTTAAATAAATATGCCAACTGCAGTAATAATATAATAAGTACAATAATAACATCGCAGGGACATTCGACTCAACATATTTTTTTGTCGTCAGTAATAATATATTATAATGACGCGTACTAAAATAAAATATGTAGAATATGGATATTTGCGTATCTCCAGACGAAAAAAAAATACAATTATTATTAGTATTAATGTAATTCAAAATCATTATTATTGGTATATTTTATTAACATATATATTATATGTTATTTATATTTGGTTATAGTATTATAATAAAATCAGGATACAAATTGTAGCTGAAAATATTATATGTGTACATTTTAATCGATTTACACCTCTGTAAAAGCTAAGGAAAAAACTGTAGAAATTGTATTTGAAGGATTTCAATTTTAAAAACGGATTATGATTCTTTAAATGGTTCTTTACTATAACGTTATGTTTGAAGTAGAAATAATTGTCCTATTTTACTGAAAATTGTGAAAAACATTGATTGTGTTTTTGAAAAAATGTATATATTTTAAGTGTTAAGCATTTTATGCTTATAGCAGACGCAATTCCTAAAGTTTTGGTCATTGAAATGAAAAAAAAAAAATCTTTAGACAATTTGGAAACCCGTTATCAAACTCTCCTTCCCCCTTAAAACGTGTATAACTTCGTTTATAATATATAGGAAGAGTCCACGAAAAGAACAGGAACAGTAGAATGTTTGAATTCTCGTGAAAATTGTATTTTAAAATGATATTTACATCTTATAATATAGGTTTTCACTGCGAGTTTTCGCCAATTTGCAGAAAATATTATTGTAATATTATCGTTCAATATACGTCCATTGTATTGCAATACTGCAACACTAAATGCGCTAAATGGCAAAAAATAACCTGATAGAAATGATATTACAATATTATATTATTCGTTACTTTTATGGACCCGTCGTAATACTTTTGAAATTAAAAATCGATTATCACAACGATAATATTTTATATTCGATTTCAGATATCGTATTTGGTAATTTGACTACATTGACTCCGTATTATTAAACCGTTTTTTATATGTATATATATATATATATATATATAGACGCATTTCTGCATCTGAGTGTACTTACCCGCACAGTTTTGCGGAGTAGGTATAAATTAAAATCTCCCACGGCCTTCGTGTTTGTGAGCCACCGTTACTATTACTTAGATATTTTAAACAGTGTTTCAAGTACAATAACAATTTACATTATATTGGGAAAAAAAACTCGTATATTATTTATCGAAGGTGTTGTTTTTTTTTTGGTAAAAACCCTTTGTTTCCCTTCGTATTTCCACCGTGAATTCAACAAACGCGTTACCGTTTTTAAATTTTCGAGTTCTGCAGCACAGGATCGCTGCGATAATATATCTGCGCTTATGCGCGTTGTATCTGAAACCCGTTTTTGAGCTGGGTTTCCAACACGATAGTAAAAAATAAAATTACAAGACGTATTAATATAGGTTTATCTACGAAAAAGTAGGTGAAATCCTTTCATAAAAACTAAAACATAAACGCATAATTCCGATTTTTAATCTACCAACCGACATTTAATTTATATGATTATATACGGTTTTATTTTTATAGTGTGTTTTTACGCGTTGGACAAGTTTCAGGGTACGTTAAAAATATGATAATATAATACTATACGACGATAGTATTGTATGCTATAATAACGTTTAAAATGAATATAATAATGTATACTATTTTTACAATCGTAAATTGTACGGTGAATTTAAATAAATCAGAGGAAAAATAGGAGGAACAAAAATTTGCGTTCACGTTCGTCGCGAAAAAGTACTCAATATCCCGTTTCATCGTTCCTTAATGTCAAAAGTAACGCGTTCCAGGCTTCGTTACTGTACGAAAGGAAAGCGTTCCTCCCCGTACACTTACGAAATCTATACGTATTTGTAGGTACGCCTATTTTCTCCCCTTGGTAATGTAAAAATACCTATACGTACAATCATATATACTTGTCAAAATATCTCGAGACAACGCCCCTCTTTCTGTGTACAAATGTTGTTTTTACATTATAAAAGTATACACTCGTATAGTACGTATGTATTAAATTGCTATACCGTTCGAGCATATGTAATTTAATAATCCATCTTGAGAGGTTATACGCCATCGTATCATCCGATCGATTTTAAACTTAATACTCGAACGCCGGGCTGTAGTTATATATATAAGTATATATATATTTATAAAATAAATACGATACCGAATTTCGGAAAAAGACACAAAGTTGACTGGGAAAAAATAAAATAAAATCGTGTAATATTCGTCAGCCTGTATAATTTTTTTCCGAACGGCGACTAGGTGATTCTGATCTACTGATATTTTCTACTACTACTTTCCATTATTGGTCCTATTGGTTCCAATGATTCTACGTCATTTGCACACAGCAGTCTTCTGGATCTTCCCTTCTGTGGACCAGATCTTCCTCCTGGCGGCCCGCGGACTCACTCTCTACTAGTTATTTTTTTTTCTGCACAATTGCGTTATTATTATTCATTTACCTCTCAGACTTTAGTTGCATTATAATAAAAATCGTTTGAAAAAAATAATCGATTTCGAAATTTTAAAGTTTAAACTAAAATACAAGTTTTATTAACTGAAATACGTATTCGGCTAAACCACGCAAAAATACTTTTATAACAAAATGCCAGCAGTCTGATGCGCTTTTGGCCAATATTTTTTTTTAGAATACAATAATATTGTCATTGTTTTTATCACATTATACGTTATTTCGTTTGAAAATATTAAAATCAAAAACAAAATTTATTAAACTCGTTTGCACGTGTAGTAAAATCTTTTTTATTTTCATGTGAGTACTGCAGTCTTTTCTTTGTTTTTTATGGCTTTTATCACTGGCATACTATAATCGCAATATTGTATATTAAATTACTACACAGAATTTTCTATTTGCGTATACCTGCAGCTATATCAAGATGGGTCTTATCAGTTTTCTTAATTTACTATAATATATTATGTGCCGACTGTCGTTTTACGTTATCGTAATAGAATACTTGTATTTTCATTTCATTGTAGAACAACATATTTTAGAACATTTTTTGTTATTTTAGAACAACGATTTTAGTATTTATAATTATAATAATATTTGTACACGATACATTTATTGACCATTAGATGAAAAAAAATGCCGGACATATTTCGCATCATAAGTATGCCGCTGTTGTAGATAGGAAATTTAGAAGATTTTGTTTTATTTATATTAGATATCCAAGTGGTATTTTAGTTTCCATATTATGCCGGGAGCAACGGTGAAACATTGTAATAAAAAAAAACGATTCTGAGCGGAACTTTGTTAACTCGTGCAATTCCGACATCAATTTCTAATCTGTTTTTTGTTTTAATTTTTAATGAAAGTTGTCTGGAGGATTTTATCAAATTTATTCAAATCCGCATCTTTCCGAGGAAGGTACCTCTGACACACGGTGCGTGAAAAAAACGAGAGCATTTTAAAAAGTGTTTCCCCCCTACCCGAAACAGTTTTTTCACACTACGCATTGAATCTGGAAAAAAAAAATACCGTAACCCTAATAGTAGGCCAAAAATATTATATTATTACTATTACGTCGGTGTGGGTTCAAAACGAGTTTAAATATATGTTCTACCTACGAGCTTATACGAGCTCATACTACACTCATACGTTCAAATATAATCATTATAATATATGTTTTATATTCGGTTTTTTTTTTTTATTTTTTTTTTTTTATTTTTTAATAGGTACCTAATTTGACTATGTTTCGATGTATGAGTTTCTTTCATGACTCGTATAACCTGATGCCGACAAATATACGTACAGTTATAGACTTCCGTTTTTTTTTTTTTTTTCAACAAGTCGTGTTTGTATTACCCGTGACATTAATCGGCAACCAGTTTTTCAATAATCTTTATAATATGTTATATTATATAGGTACAAGTTTTTTTTTTTTTTTTTTTTGAAATTTATTACTTCTATAATGCCTACATAAATTATTGAGAACCGTAATACGGATGAGTTTATTATTAAAGAAAAAAAACTACTAAATAGCCACTGTCAACATTACACGTCATAATATAAACACATTATTATTTTTTTATAATAATGTGTTGTTTTTTTTTCTCCTTCAAGAAAACTTGACGAATTGCTTTTAAATAATTTATTTGACCAGTATACCAGTATTTTACTTACCCGTATACATATATAAATAACTACGTTATAGTATCGTTAGGTAATATTTATTTACTTTTACACGAATAATTTCCTTTTTTAATCGCGATATGAAATTTTATCGTGCAATTTTTTTTTAAAAATAAGTTCAATTCAACATGAATAAAAGGAATACAAACAAAGATACGACAATTTTTTGCCCGTCATACTTTATATTTGAAACATTCATCGACATTTTCTGCAACTCAAACCCAATTACGGTCTTTTTATTTTTGCTGTTTGATTTCTGGATTATCTTCTGTGTTGCAACAGACAAAAAAACCCTACTAATACCAGCTACCATTCCTCTCAAAATCGTATTTTTTTGTTCATTCACAGCGTTTTTTCGTTGCGTACAATTTAATCAATGCATAAACTATATATCAGTATTATTTATTTATTTTTTCATCAACAATGTACAACGAATATTTTAATTCACAAAATCAAAAATAATTACAGCAAACAGCTACCTAACTGTTTATTACATTTAAAATAGAACACAACAATATTATTCTGTACAGCTACCACATTTTAAAAATTCTTACGAAAAATTAAAAAACACCGTGACGTCGTTTGAATATAGTATTTTTTTTTTCTACATATTTTATAGATAAAATAGTTTTTTCCCCATATGGTTTTTTTTTTTTTTTTAAAAAAAGATAAAGTATACACATAAAATTAATTATTTCGATTAACAATACTGTAGTCTGCAGATAATAATCTAATGTAAAACGTATAGATTACTCATATAAATACTCGGTATGATATGCAATTCCGATAATACGATTTATTTTAGTTAATCCTGTTAGATATTTGTCTGCGTGTTTATTGGTATAGAGACGGTTATTGTGGTTTTTGTACAGTGTAAAAATGTAATAATCCGTTCGACAAAAACAAAAAAATGTGACACGATGCAGACGTCGCGTATTTTCATCACGGGTAATAATAACCGGAATAGATTTTGTTTTCAACGAAGAATTTATACGATGAAGCATTTTACTTTGATGTGTATTAATATTGCGAGATAATTTTCAACCGGATTAGACTCGGCTAAATTTAAATATCTAATAATGCAAAGAGCTTGATCCGTTTTGGCGCTTTCCGAATAGGTTTTATAAATCTATGTAGTCGTAGTATTTCGGATCTGATCGATAAGGTTTATTTTTTTTTATTTTTATGAAATTCTTTGTACATTATTTCTTTCCTAATAATTGGGAGGAGGGGGGAACAAATCGAAAAATAAACGAATTATTTATTCGAATTCAATACGAATAATCGAAATATTCACCGAGCATACTTATACATAATAAATAAGTACGCTAGCGTGTTCTAAATATTATGTAGACGTGACATAAATAATTTTCAAAATGTTTTTACTCTTTTCGAGTTTTTATTTTTATTATTGGTTTGACTCATTGTGTTGCAATTCTCAGTGGAGTATTTAAAGGGAAAGATTAGTGAGATAGTATCTCTCTCCTCAAACATTTTTTTTCGGTTTCTTTTTAAATTCGAATTTTATTTGTTTATTTTTATCCAGAATAATCAAAACGTGTTGGTGACTGTATTAAACAGAAACCGTTTTAATTTATAAAAAAATAAGGGTGAAAACAACTAATATTCAATAATAATCACGATCGCTGCTCGGTAATTCCTTATCGCAATAGTAATTTATTTTTTTTGAACGATTCCGACGAATCATCGGTGTTTTCGAGCGGCCTTTTCGAATACATTATAGTGACGTACTATGTGTTACGGGGGTGGGGGGGTGTGTGGTCGAAATCGGGTCAATATCGTAAATCTCCGGGGAAAACGTGTGCTGCGCCCACGGTACACGGGCAAAACGTCGTATAAAATTGTTCGGCTTTTAACCGGGCAAACCTACAATATATAGTACAGTGGCCGCTGGCCGCGACCTCATTCGGACGAAACCGTATAATAGCGTCGGTATACATTTCGATTTTTCGCGAATATTGTAATATTGACGACGAAATAAACACATATATTTGCGTCGTGTGTGTTCATAGTTCAAACGTACCGACCATATTTAATTGTACCCAATGCAAAAACAATCATTCCAAATAACGGAATTTATTTTATCGTCATTTTATAATATTGTGTGATATTAATAATAATAATAATAAAAAAAAAAAAAAACCACTATATCTGTGAAAAATCTTGATTTACGGACGATATACGGTTTTCCCCCGAATGAGGTCAGCCACCGCCCGCTACTTCAGGTCTGCCCGGACAAAGGCCGAACAGCACGGCGCGTTTCGACGAATAAATTGTCGAGGGCATTTCTGAGGTTTGCCCGACTGCGGCTTTTGCCCGTGAAGTCGTAATATACTGCAAACATAATACAGTATAATGTACGCCACCCTCATTATTTGCCACCCGCCTAGGACACGGTACGGTACGGCTTCCTCGACCCGACCGAGACGTCGCCGGCCGTTTCCCGTCCGTTTAATATTCGTTTGAATTTGTATTTATTTGTATTTTTTTTTTTTCGCCTACAATATTATTTTTTTTAATAATGTCGGAAAACGCGATATATTTTTTTCTTTTTTACCGACGACGACGCGTAACAACAATAATAATAATACGACCGCGGCCATATAACAAAAAAAGCAAAACAACGCCGCCGCCGCCGCCGCCGCCGCCGCTGCAGCAATATAACGCTGTACGGTGACCAGCAATTTGTGCGTATTATTATGTTTTTTTTTTTTTTATTTAGTTTTTGTATTATTTTATTTTTTATCATTATTATTTTATTTTTTATGCATATATATATATATATATATAAATATATACAGTTTTTTTTTTTTATTTGTCGTCGTCCGACCGACGCGCAGAGTCGTGCTACAAACACAAAATGTGAGTCATGCGCGACCAAGCATAACTCCGGCGGCGGCGGCGGCGGCCCCGGCCGAGCAACGCGAACAACGACTAAATAGCCATCGTTGCAGAGTTCATCAGACCACTGTAGCACCGCGTAACTCCCCTCCATATCATATTATAGACGAGGGGGGGGAGGAAAAAAAAAAAAAAAAAAAA